GGCATGGCGAGGACAATAGCGCATTTTTTCCATAAATGAGAAAATGCGCTAAAAACAGATCAGAAACTGCATGGCGCACAGAGCTGGGATCGAACCCGCGCCTCTCTGCGCCAATCTTGGTACTGAACTGTAACCACTGGGCCGTGAGACGAACTAAACAAATTGTTCTTTTGAGAAGGACGTCTCGTTAAGTAGGATTTTTTAATATGAGTGAGTCGGGTAATGGAAGTTAATGAATGGCAGCCAAATGAGGAAGTCATATTTACACAGTGTAATCAAGTTCATGAGTTCACCGTCAGAAATTACTGTGTCCTGTTTTAATCATCCAAAGGCAGTGTACTACCCGTAAACTACCGAACTATTCGATCACATAAGGCTTTTATGCAGTGGTAGCCACGTGGAGACTGCGGCGGCGTGTACGCCACTATACTGTTATAGAACAACCTACAATAGAATAGAATAGAAGTGTCGGCACTGAAGAAATAGGCCCATGGCCCCATGGCCTCTTGCCCATTCTTGACTTTTTCGTGACTTGATTCATAAGGGATCCGGCCTCTGGAACCACCCGCTCTTTCCATAACTGCCGATTGATTGAGATAGCTGCTGGACTTATTGCCTGGTCCGTACGGCCAGACTGACCGTGAGACCTCTATAATCTATAATAGCGAGGCACGAAGGTGATGGAGAAAGAACGATTGTGGGGATGCGAGGCTACAGCTGCGGTACGGCCTCTGGAAATACGGCCGCGTAGATTACGTAGATAGGTTACGGTCGGTCCATAGAACCTATCTACGGTAGATTACGTAGATAGGTTACGGTCGTTTACAACAGTCGTACGAATCAACGGAACTACAACGGATCAACGTTTCTGGTAAATAGAGAAGTTGAGTGATGTGCAATGATATGTTTTCAATTTTGATTGTGTTCTGATTTTCTTTTTTATGAACTAGAGATTTTTGTCAACGTAGGATGTGAACTTGAATTTCCCAATTCGATATTAAATGTACCAGTGTTTTATTTCAACCCTCTCTCTGTACGATTTTTGCCGTAAACTATTCAAGCGAGGACTTATACATACGCGCCTTAAGTAAGCCACTACGGAAACCAACCTGACAGAATTAAAGCAATTGAAGATCGAACAATTAAACCCCATAGCTTCAATATCGTTAAAATTTTTCATAACCTAATCAAGCCTTGCCTATAGAACGAGTAATTCTCTGCTGTGCGTGTTCAACACAGGTAATTCAGTTACGAAGAATAAACTCCCATATACTAACCATGTTATTTGTTTCCATCTAGTCCACTCTCACCACCCATGTTTCGCCTAACCCAAAATTGACGCAAAAAATATTATTAATTTGATAGCCTGAAGCTATATTTCGAGATCGCGTTGCCTGTTCCTTCGTTATATTCAATACACTTCTTGGTGGGCGCGTTCTTGGTACTGATGTAAATTCCCAGACTCCTCTAAAGCTAACTTTGTCCCTAACCAATTGAAGAGACTTGTTCTGTAACGATTCCATTTCAACAATTTCCAGTGACAATATTTCTTGCTAAGCATCACCAATGAGCTCATTTTGAATCCTTAACAAATGTTCTATGAAAATAACGACATATTTCTTTCTGTGACTAACGGTTACTGGAGAAAACGATTCGGAACATTGGACTAACGGCAATTAGATAAATCGGTGATTTCCCTAATCCACGTAACTATGATCTAACACGATTCAGTTTCGCATAGCAGACGCTTGATGTACATCGGAGACCGGACAGAATCGCCATATGATATGGATATACTGTTAAAATTGGTGTTGTTATAGTTCCTAGTTATAAAAGTTTAATAATTAACTTATCGTTAAATTTAAATCGGGAAGCAGCATATATAATTCACGCAGCGGAAGTAGATTTAATATTGCGTGACTTGCAATACATTTCCATGTCGCAAGATTCTGAGGTGGCTCACGTAGACCAGGAGCGATCTACGCAATTTTCGCACTGCGTATTCACCCTTAAGAAAATAAAAAAATTTCTTCACACCAAACTCCCTCCATAAAAGACGAGAAAAAAACTTTGTGACACTTCTGTATATTTTCACATACTTGAGTGAAAATTTAAAATTCTTCCGAACGCTTTGAACACAAGCAATTATGAATTCCACTCTTATGATACAGATCACGCAGAAGCTGTTAATAAGAAAACGGCCAAACACGAACCGAGGCTGAGAAACAATATGAAATGCTCCTAAAAAAATCATGCACTTCCTCGGGCCGACGAAATAAGCGGAATGAAGGACACGTAGGAGGACTGGCCCACAGTCGGAGAGCAGGCATGCATCCAATGACTCGCGCAAACCTGTGTCACACCGACCATGCATGGAGTACTCAACCAACTAATGTAGCGGAAGAAATGATAGGAAACGGTTCAATACTGCGAGCATATGTCCATGATTAGAAGAAAGAAGTTCAAGTAGTAGGTGAGATTACAGTTTACAAAAACTGAACTTGCCTGCATCCAGGCTTGCGAAAATAAGCAGGTGTACACGAATAATGTTAACATTAAACAGCGAAACTTGACATTTTATCTTGAACAATCACGGGAATTCATTACAAGAACCGAAGTAGACTGTTGAAATAAAATTTAATCATTGATCAAAACCGTGCGTACTAAATCTAAAAACGAAAATAAAGACGCAAAAGTTAACATTATGTTTTGTTCGAGTGAGAAGAATTAAGTTCCATTTACTGACCATATGATCCGAAAACGATCGCTGAATAATCAGCAGTGCAGAAATAATAGTCTTGTAGTACAAGTCATGAATATAATCAACAAATACTAGGAAAACTTAACGCTCAAGCGCCATATGGCCAAAATGCATGAAAAAAAATGAATTCTCCTCTTTGGCGCAAAATATGAGGATTAAAGTAGACCGGCGCATCGCTTTTCCAGTTCGGCCCGCTTCAAATCGAATTCGGAAGCAACCAATCCCTCGTTGTCATCCAGCCAAGCCATTGTAGCCGTCAGTGCGGTGTCGATGTCACGCAGCAGGGCTTGATCGATCAGAGAACGCAAGCAGCACAGCTTGTCTTCGACAACATTTTTCATCTGCAGACAATATCTTTCGAGTGAAGCACGCGCGATCAGCCTGAGCTGTTTGTCCTCGTTGCCATAAGAAGAAGCCTCCGCCATGCAGCGGTCAATATCGCTCTTTTCCAAGCGGCCTTTGAGGCTTGTTATGTGAATGCTCTGGCGGCTGCCTGTGCTCTTATCTTTGGCTGAGACTTTCAAGATCCCGTTCTTGTCAATGGCACATGTCAGTTCAATGTTCGGTCTTCCTTGTTCGGCATTTTCAATGCCGCAAAGCTTGAACTGTCCAAGAAGGTTGTTCTCTATACAAAGTTTATTATCACCTTCATAGATGGCAATGGTTAAGGCTTGCTGGAAATCATTAGCAGTTGAGTAGTAGCTTGTCTTTTTAGTGGGGATCCTTGTATTCCGATAAATTAGAGGACTCATGAAAATTCCGAACTCCGCAACACCGATGGTCATGGGACAAACATCCACTAGATTTATGGCTCGATCTCGAGAGTCCCTGGCTAGCACATCAGCTTGTAACGCAGCGCCATATGCTACTGCATGGTCCGGGTCGATGGACTTGTTCAGTTTTTTACCTTGGAAGTGTTTTTGTAGCAATTCTTGGATCTTGGGGATCCGAGTTGAGCCTCCTACAAGCACGACTTCGTCGACGGCACTAGCGTCGAGACCGGCGTCTAAGAGCACACGCTTCACGGGGACGAGTGTTTGCAGGAACAAGTCTGAACACAGAAGTTCGAAGCGGACGCGACTGATGTTCGAGATGAAGTCAATCCCGTTATGAAGAGCAACAATTTGGAGGCGACTCTTCACACTCACTGAGAGATCAATTTTCACTTTTTCACAAGCTAATCTCAACTTGGTTTTAGCTTTATCATCAGAAGCTAGATCTGCTCCGTGCTTTTTCTTGAACTCTCCGATGAAGTGCTGAACGAGTCTGTCATCAAAATCTCGCCCGCCAAGAGAATTGTTGCCGTTCACTGCCAGAACTTCGAAATTTTTGTCTTCGATTGCCACCACGGCAACGTCAAAAGTGCCTCCACCTAAATCGAAAATGAGTACATGGCGTCGCTCTTTGGCTGCTTTTTCGACACCAAAAGCAAGAGCAGCAGCGGTGGGTTCGTTGATGATGGCCAGAACATTTAGACCTGCAATTTTTCCAGCGTCAAGAGTGGCTTGCCTCTGCGAGTCCTTGAAATAGGCGGGTACAGTGATCACAGCGTTTCTTACAACACTGCCGACGAAAGTTTCTGCAACTGACTTCATTTTACGCAATATCATCGCAGACAGCTCCTCCGATGACAAGGTTTTTATTGTTTTCTTGTGAAGAACTTGCACCTTAGGAACTCCACCCTCATCCACAACTTTGAACGGCCACATTCTGGTATTTTCAGGGGTGTCAACATCAAGGAATTTTCGCCCAATTAGACGCTTAACATCAAAAACAGTGTTTCTGGAATTGTTGACGGCTTGTGCCTTGGCTGCAGCACCGACGAGACAATCTTCGTCAGTGAAGGCGACATAGGATGGAGTGATGCGACTGCCGATGTCGTTGGCAATCACCTCCACTTTGCCGTTGCGCACAACAGCCACGCACGAGTTGGTCGTGCCGAGATCAATCCCAATCGCAGGTTCCGTCTGGGCTTCCACAACCATTTTTCTGCAACACGTGAGATTAACATAATTTTCATTTTTACGTTGTTGTTTCAAAATTATAAGCATAATACACAATTAAGTGTAAATATTCTACTGATATAAAGAAATTCTTTACTAACGAACATTCGGAGAAGCACACATAACATTGGAAAAAACTAAAATTATTCTCTATGTCATTAAAACAAGTATATAAATTAAAGATACAAATTATGAAACAACAAGTAATACATTTCCACTGCACTAACGGAAAAGAAGAAACAATTTTTAATTTCGGTTTTTAATTAATAAAATCAATTCTTTCTTTTTTTTTTGTTGGAATGGTGAGTGTGGGAGGCCTTTTTATAATTTCTAATTATATGCATAAGTTACCGGTTGTCACGTGTCTTAGGGACGACGTTACGGGTCTCGGCAGGCTGGTGGGGAGCGACGCTCCTGGCGAGCACCGCCTCCTTCACTAGCAGCTGCAGGGGCGTGAGGTCGCGGCTCTCCGACAGCGCTCTGAGCGCTGCCAGTGTGGCGTACCTGGCCGCCCCCATGGCCCCCACCAGGGCGACATCGACGTCACTTCTGATGGGGGTGTCCTTGAAGCAATCACGCACTAGCACCTCGACCTTGGGCACCCGGCAGGAGCCACCACACAGAATGACCTCATCAATGTCAGCTGCCTTCATGTCAGCTGACTCCAGGGCATTCTGAACGCTCGAGGGTATCTTGGCATAGAGCGTCTTGTTGAGCTCATCCAGCCGCGTTCGACTCAATGAGAACTTGAAATCAGCAGAAGCCGTCGTGGACGGAACCACGAGTTCCTCGTGCTCAGAAAAGGACAGGCTGTGTTTCAGCTCTCGGCAAGCTTGCAGAAGCTTATGCATGGCAAGTTTATTGGTGGACATGTTTAATCCATGTTGACGGCTGATCTCGGAGAGGAAATGCTTTGTCATGATATCGTCCATTGAAGGAATTGGGTACATTTCCGACGAAAGTACACTGAACACTCCATCTTTAAAAGAGATAATTGACACTTCTAAGTATTGCGATCCGTACCGGAATACGAAAACAGATTGTTTCTTCGACGTTTTCTTCTGCAAATTATAGCCATAGCCCACGGCCACGGCCCTGTCGATGATGCCCAGAACAGACAACCCAGCTGCGTTGCTGCTTTGCGCCAACTGAGCTTTATGCACATCCAGCACAGAACTTGCAACCGAGAGAACAACTTTCTTTACTTCTGACCCAGCAGACGCTTCCATGTCTTCCTTGATTTTCAGGAGAACGAGAGTCATGAGTTGTACCCATGTTCTTGAGTGACGTCTCTTGTTTTCACCCGCCTCGACTTCGATAAGAATGCTGCCTTGCGAGTCTTTTGTTTTCCATGGCAAACCGTAGGTGTCATCGAGAAGGCGCATCACCTCGACCAGCTCCAGCTGAGGGTCGGCATCATGAGCTACTAAAGCAGCTTCCCCGACCAGTGGCTCGTCTTCCTCCGTGAAGACAACAACAAGAGGTGTGTGCCGCGCCCCGCTGCCTGCTGCGACCACCTTAGTCTCGCCTCTCACAACGACGCAAGACCGCGCGTTCTTGGACCCAAAGTCAATGCCTGCTACAATTTCACCGTACATCTTGACAAGTTTACCTGTAAATATGAATTGCAGTGCTTAGAAAACATCTATGTACCTTGTTGTAAATCAATATTCGTGAAGGCTAACATAAAAGCATTGTTCTTAGTGCATTTCTCACCTACTGATACAGAGGGTCATTGAAAGGAAGGAGTAGTTATAAGTTTTTAGCCTGCTGCTCATCAAATAAGATATCAGCTCCAACAATATAGCGCATATCTCAATAGTCAATTAGCAAGAGTTATCGTAAGAGTTGAAAATAATATCAATTTTGGATTGTTGTCGATTCTTGTGGAACAATAACTAAATATTAAGTATCCCTGTGTCAGCGTTTTATAGTTAAGAAACTTGATGCATGCAAAAAAAATATAACTCAGTAATCACTGCAGTGAGTAACAGAGAGCGCATTTTCTCGTCGACGAAAACGTGATCACGGACGGACAGACAGACGGACGGACGGACATGACGAGCAAAATAGTGCATTTTTCCATGAATGAGAAAATGCGCTAAATAGGTCCGTTCTATGCTGCATGCATCATTGTTGTTTAGGCTAATGGACACTGCGATTTCACCTAATAATGAAATTATATAGGTGATTATGAAATTTGACGCGATGCTACTACGTACTTAATTAACAGTGGCTTTCATTGTATAATTTTTGTTTTTCAACATCAATGGCAAGGAAAAATAAAAATATTATGAGATTACACGGTCTCTTCTAAGACTCTTCATAGTTATAGGCGGCATATAGCTAGCTACTTAGCCTATATAGCCCTCACGCTTGACCAGACCAGGAACACTACAACTATGTGTACCTATAATCTCGCGCTAGCATCACTTGTGTATATTATATATCTAATGCAAATTAGGTTTACAAAGGCTCACAAATTAGTTAGGCAGGGAGGTTCACAAAAGCAGTTCAGAGGTACTAATTCCTGAAACAAAATTAAAACATAAATCTAAAATGAAAGGCTACCATCAGTCCATCACCGAAAACATCATTATTAAATTCATGATACCAGTAGCTACCAAATTAATTAACGAAAAATTATGAAAATTTGGATGATGTATAAGCTAATCATGGATTTCAGTGGTGTCCGATAAAAGAGGCTAGGTAAGTTGAATTTTGAAACTGAAAAGTGTGACACTGATTTGACATGAATCATGAATGATGAATCTAGTTTGTTGTTCTTACTGTTAACTTCAAACTCATTCGATAGTCGACACTTACCGATTCTTCGATCATTAATTCCAAAAATTCCTTTTTATTCTCTACTTGAGCAATGCTTCAATAATATATAAACAAGAATTGAGCCACTCAACTTCACGACAGACACGCGGCTAGCATTGCACTCACTGACTCACCCAGCCGATAAGCCGACGAGCCGATATGAATTCCAAAGCTTAGATGCAAGATTCGCTAGATAAAACAACTTTTTCAGAAAGTATTTTAGTTAATTCGATTTGAAATAAAGACACAATGTGTTATCTTCTTTAAATGTCAGTCAAAAAAATTACATGAACTATTTTTGATGCATTTTCTTCTGTTTCTATCGCTTTCGTTCATTTAGCGAACGTGTTCCGTGTTCGTAACAAACGCGTTTCGTTCAAACGAGGCATAAACGAGTAACTCGCGCTTTGTTCAGTGGCGAAATCGTGTTCCACTTGCTTTGTTCACTCATTTGAAGGATGAAATGAGTACTGCAAAAATGTAAAAAAACACGGAAATTATTGTATTCATTTTTTTAAAACAATTTTTTTATCCAGTTCTAAAACTTCAGGCTATTTATTGTCTCTGAGAAAAAAATTGTTCCATCGACGATTGGGCTCTGGCAACGCGAGCAAATTTCAGCTCAAATACGAAAAATGAAAATATCAGTATGAAAAGGCATGATGGGAATTAGCGCAGAGTAATAGACTAAAAATTTTACGTTAATTTGGTAGGAAAAATCCTAATTAGGACTATTCAAGACCTCGCATTAGCTTTGTGATTGAAGAAAGTATCTTCATTTCCGTTACCGTCATCTCTTCACGCGAGTTTTGAAAAGCTAGTCAAATTTTTTGTAACCGTGGCGCCCACATTCCTAATAATTACGCACGGTATAATCATTTTTCATGCAGTAGCCTCGGGTGGATAGAAAAATATCCAGTTCAGTTAATTCGATTTTATTATGTACAAATATGCCCACAGAAAAAACTGCAGGAAACCATAACACGTGGACAACCTTGAATGCCGTATGGCGTGTTGAGCGCATTATGCGATGGCCTACCTTCTAAATTCTCACATTTCAAATGCCAATCATTAAAGCAACAATTGCTAAAAATGGAACAACTTATTATCAAATGTTTCAAGTTCATTCTTATACATTTCTACCCTTCTGAAAGGTTTGTATTATTACTAGCCTAAGGACCTTCATTTTCTTTCTTTTCTTTTATAATGCCGATCACAGTACGTTTCAATTGAATTTTCTTTGGTAGTTTTAAATAGGGTAATTTGAGAGTGCCAGATCGATTTAGTATAAATCACATATGAGCTCCCCGACGCGCACTGCTGCAGTAGCCAGCACCAGAGACTTGGCAGCACCAGAGACTTGGCAGCACCAGAGACTTGGCAGCACCAGAGACTTGGTGGCACCAGAGACTTGGCAGCACCAGAGACTTGGCAGCACCAGAGACTTGGCAGCACCAGAGACTTGGCAGCACCAGAGACTTGGCAGCAGCGGCACCAGCAGCAGCAGGACTCTAGTTCTTCAATCTTCGTGGCTGGTAGGAATAGTTTTCAGTTCACTGCCACTCAAGATAGGCAGACATTTCCTGCACTGGAAATGAATCATTGGAATTTTTGAAAACAACAAATAACTGTAATATAGCACCTATCACAACGATGGTATAACAAGACCATATCTCCTGCACGAGCCCCAGCGACGCTCGTAACTGCAGCCCTCAGGACCTCTACTTGGTGACAGCGTGCATGCCCTTGGCGAGGTACGCGACGTTCGCTGAAGTGATTCCTGCCATGGAGATGCGTCCGTCCTTCGTCAGGTAAACGGAGAACTCCTTCGTCAGTTTCTCCACCTTCGTAAAGAATGAATCGGAAATTGTTGTTGGCTTGGCAACTATTCACTACAGAAGCAAATGTCATTCCTTGAATAATATATTACTAATCAATAAAATTATCTAGCAACTTAAGTAAGGCATCGATACTAAGGGGCATGCTGGAAGAAAAATATCATCAAAAAATAGCGTAGGGAATGCGCAGGCATAGACGCAAATAGCTCGGCAAGTAGTTTTGTTGTCACGTATGATACAAACCGACATTGAAAATATTTAATTGTTACACCAGATTATTATGAAGTAACGTAACATCGGGATAGATTAGGTATTGTTAACATGTATTTTATTGAAATGTATTCTGAAAACTCTAAGTTAATAGCGTGCGTAATAGATATGGAAATAATTTTAAAATATAACTTCTTATTAGTGGTTAAATAATTTTGAAAAGCGAACCGACTAAAGTGCCACCTGCGTAATAATTGCACAAGTGTTGGGTTTAGACAAGAACCTAGGGAGCAACCCTCGTTCACCTGAGCGGGCGTCATGCCAGTGAAGCAGAACATGCCGATCTGGTCGGTGATGTGGCTCCAGTTGCGCGTGGATCCTTCCTTCTCGAGATTAGCTCGTAGTTGTGTACGCATTGAAATAATCCTGTCAGCCATGCCCTTGACATCAGTCAGCCACTCTGATCTGTAAGTAGCTCTCGAGATATTAGCGTTCAACTCCAGGTTAAGCAGTACAAACAACATGGATTAAACGCAATCCTCAATTATGAACACCAGATGAAGTTCAGCAAATTGACTGATGGTTTCGCAATGAAATATTGAAAGTCATGTTTGCTTCTATTTCTCCATAAAGCCGCTGTACATTCTATAAACTTGAAATTTTCATAGCGATCCGAGAATTCGACGACTACCTGAGTGCTGCGTCAGACAAAATAGTGCTGACGATCCTGGCGCCGTTGATGGGCGGGTTGGAGTACAGGGGGCGGATGAGGATCTTAATTTGCGACATGACGCGCGCCGCCCCGTCCTTGTCGGAGCACACCACCGTGAACGCCCCGGCGCGCTCGCCTGCACAACACAAACTCTTGAGGACTCTTGTGCTGCACACCAGCACACCACAATACAGGAACACCGTGTAGACCACTGCTCCATGCAGCACACCACAATACAGGAACACCGTGCAGACCACTGCTCCGTGCAGCACACCACAATACAGGAACACCGTGTAGACCACTGCTCCGTGCAGCACACNGTTATGTAACCCTGTATCACTCTTGTCAAGGATGTAGTTATGTAACCCTGTATCACTCTTGTCAAGGATGTAGTTATGTAACCCTGTATCACTCTTGTCAAGGATGTAGTTATGTAACCCTGTATCACTCTTGTCAAGGATGTAGTTATGTAACCCTGTATCACTCTTGTCAAGGATGTAGTTATGTAACCCTGTATCACTCTTGTCAAGGATGTAGTTATGTAACCCTGTATCACTCTTGTCAAGGATGTAGTTATGTAACCCTGTATCACTCTTGTCAAGGATGTAGTTATGTAACCCTGTATCACTCTTGTCAAGGATGTAGTTATGTAACCCTGTATCACTCTTGTCAAGGATGTAGTTATGTAACCCTGTATCACTCTTGTCAAGGATGTAGTTATGTAACCCTGTATCACTCTTGTCAAGGATGTAGTTATGTAACCCTGTATCACTCTTGTCAAGGATGTAGTTATGTAACCCTGTATCACTCTTGTCAAGGATGTAGTTATGTAACCCTGTATCACTCAAGTGACAAGGAAGAGTAACCTCCGGTGTTCAGCATAAACGAGGCGTGGTAGGATCAAGATGGCACAGCAGTTATAAATAATAAGCAACTTCAAGAGTTCAGGAGTGTTATGGGCAATGCACTTGAACCATTCAATGTTCTAGTTTTCTCTACGCATAATAGGAACATGATTCTATTTTAAGACATGATATAAAATTTGAGACATCCTTATTAAGACTAGATGAACTGTAGGAAATGATACGTAACCCTATATGTGAGGACTTTATCATGATAGACTGTCATGTCATTTAACATTGAACCATATGGCATATAGGTAGCATATCATATACCATATATAATGATATATAATATATGCTACGTGCTATATGATATTCAAAAGAAGTGCCACTCACAGACCAAAACGTACTGTGAAAAGATGTTGAATTTTTCGCCTTGTTCATTCACACATGATTAGTTGAAAATGCTATGTAGCAATGTAATTGTATAATAGAGAAAAATTTCTACTGGTGGACATACATGTATGAAATTTGCATGCTTTGAATTAAATAAATAATCTCACGCAGCTCAAGTTTCCACTACCTCCTTAATAATGGCATAAGTATATAAATATTTTATATACTTATATGCCTCCCTTCACAAGAAAGTATTCATACTATTCTAAAGTAAGCAAAGTACAGATAAAATTACGAATCATACTTGTCACGGGAGGATCTACAGTGATGACATGACATGATCTACAGTGATGACATGACATGATCTACAGTGATGACATGACATGATCTACAGTGATGACATGACATGATCTACAGTGATGACATGATCTACAGTGACGACATGATCTACAGTGATGACATGACATGATCTACAGTGATGATATGACATGATCTACAGTGATGATATGACATGATCTACAGTGATGATATGACATGATCTACAGTGATGACATGATCTACAGTGATGACATGATCTACAGTGATGACATGACATGATCTGATCTACGGTGATGACATGACATGATCTGATCTACGGTGATGACATGACATGATCTGATCTACAGTGATGATATGACATGATCTACAGTGATGACATGATCTACAGTGATGACATGATCTACGGTGATGACATGATCTACAGTGATGACATGATCTCCAGTGATGACATGACATGATCTACAGTGATGACATGACATGATCTACGGTGATGACATGACATGATCTACAGTGATGACATGACATGATCTACAGTGATGACATGACATGATCTACAGTGATGACATGACATGATCTACGGTGATGACATGACATGATCTACAGTGATGACATGACATGATCCACGGTGATGACATGAAAGGGTCTACAAACAAGCCAACAGCGTGGTCACTGGTCACTCCATCGAGTAGTGGATGCAATATCTCACCATAGAGGCCCATGTTCTTGGCAAAAGACTGAGCTAGGAGGATGTTATGGCCATCATCAAGGAACTTGCGCACAGCAAAAGCATCCTTGTCCACACTCCCAGAGGCAAAACCCTGCAATAAAGTTCATTGAATAATAACAAACTTACAAAGTATCAAGTTAAATTCTCAGGCAGGAAAAACTACTATAAGTTTGAAATGCATAGGAGTGTTTCTAAAACTCCACCTGATAAGCCATGTCAAAGAATGGCAACGCCTTCTTGCTCTTGAGGAGGTCGCTCATGGCCTGCCACTGCTCAGGGTTGGGGTCAACACCAGTTGGGTTGTGGGCACACGCGTGCAGCAGCACCAGGCTCCCATCTGGCATGTTCTGCAATCAATCCAGATAATCTATTATCAAATGAATCTCAATTGATTCAAACGTCAAAAATCTCCCCACTTTATTCAAAATTATAATTTCAATAGATCAAGTATTGTCAATTCTTTGAGATGCCTGAAGATCAGCATTAATAATCAAAGAACCCAAAAGCTTGATTATCTCATTTCCTGACTTGCAGCAGTGCATAATACATACAGTGCAAGACAACAATGATATCGGTGAAGTGTCAAGGTCTTAAACAAACCTTAAAGTCTTCCATGGCTCCATTGAAGTCAAAGCCACAAGTCTTAGGGTCGTAGTACCTGTACTGCTTCACCTCCATGCCCACGTGTTTGAAGATGGGCACGTGGTTGCCCCATGTAGGGCTTGGGAACCATACCGTCTGCAAGCAGATATATACTATGTCATTAATACTGAATAGTGAAAAAAGTTACATAGGGTTCATTTTTGTCTTCGGTATTTAGAATTATCAATTTTCAATTCCTCATTAACCTTCATGGGGTTCTGGATTAAAGCAAAGTGCAGTTTTTTGTCTTTGAGATCAACTTCATTTTAAGCCATAAAATTATTACAACATGTTATTTCAGGATCATTAAGAATGTTTGTGCAGCATATAATAAATAAATAACATGCAGTTTTACTGTACCAATAAGTCACTGTAGACTTGTGGAAGCGTGAATGTTCAAGTGCAGAAGTTTAATTTTCATACCAAATTTGGTTAAAATGTATAAAATTCAATTGAATTTTATACTAGAAATTCACAAAAAAAAACTTTCCAACACACAAAAAGTTCCATTGATACATTAGCTACAGTATGAAGGAGGCACTGTGGACTCAAAACAGTGTTACAGAGATAAGTTTTGAGCAGCAAGATCACAGCAGAAACTAACAGCCACAGCCAAGGAGATAACTTATCTGTAATAACAACTAACTTAGCAATTCACAGAAGAAAGGTTAGCCATAGCAGTAGTAAGACACTACATAGTAGCACTACATGGCAGTTGAGTATAACTTTGGAGTGCAACATGCATATCCTTATGGCAAGGTGGTATCATATCAAGAAATTGTGTACTCTCTTTTCAGCTTTCAAACTTTGCCATCTTTCCCTGACCCAAAAATAAATAAATAAATCATACAAGAGATATTCAAACCATTTTCCCTAATCAACATAACATTGAGCACTGTGAGCTAGAAACAAAATAGCATTAAAGTACAGTAAAAGAAACATTCATTAAAAAATGAATATAAGAAATTACTTACTTTAATGGGGAAAAATTTTGCTAAGAAAGCAGAGCCAATCCTAAGTGAACCAGTGCCAGAGATGCCTTGAACAGTTGCGTTGCGTCCCTCTTGCAGCACAGAGCTGCCCTCACCAAATGCCAGGCTGATGGCTGCGTGGCAGAACTCAGCACTGCCAGAGATGGGTGCATATTCCTTGTCTAGGGCCTTTGACGTCATGATAGCCTCTGCCTGCAAGGCAATGTATCACAAGCTACTGTCTGAAGGCTTTTCAGCTGCTAATAACCTTTCAAATAATATAATACATTAATGTAATATATCAAACATTATACAAAAAAGACTATAAATTAACTTGTACTGAAACAATGAAGAAAATTACTCAAAGTTTAACTTACATAAACTCATTCATTAGGAGTAGGTATACAAGAAATTCAATCATTCATAATTCATTAGAAGTTTACAAGAAATTCAAGATACATAAAATGTTGAAAAATCTGTACCACAATAACTAAAAAGACATTTAAGAAGTCCTCTGAGGTTCCCAACACTTAATACAACAAAAAGTAGATCAAAAATTACAAATTTTTATCAATGTTTGCTAGTTTGAAAGTTGGAACAAAAATACTCACCTTCCTGACAGAAGGAAGCACAAAAGGTTTGTTATTGTCATCCCGGTAAGCACCAACACCAAGATTTATTTTATTTGGATTAGTATCTTTCTTGAATGCTTCAGTGACTCCCAGAATGGCATCTGGAGGACCCATCTCAACATTGCTCCAAAGTGACCTGAGAAATTAATTGCTTTATTAAATAACTAAATATCGAAATTATCCCTCAATTGCAGTAAAATTACTTTTATCAATCTTCCTAAGAATATAAGAATACACAAGTTATTTTTCAGATATTTATATATAGGTTGGGCCTACTAATTTCATTTTATACTGCTTCCAAGTTCCAATATTACAGAAATGAGAAAATTACGAGAAATAAACCCTTTTTTAGTTTTTACCGAATGCATTAAAATAGATAGGTATTGACCATTGACGTCAAAACAATTAGGTAATTTCCTCCTTTTATCGAGATTAGCAAGGAAATTTTAGAATTAACTTACGCATATCTTGAAGTTGCAGCTGTTAGAGGTTTATAATTTGTTTTTAGGAGTGAAAAAACTTTTGCACCGGTGACAGCCATGCCTGGTAAGTGGTAACTGCCTTCAACTCGACAGCAACAACACCAAACTGAATCAGATGACGGCAACTGTTCCGTGTTAGTTGAAGTGAAGACATGAAGGTCAGGGCTTTGATCAAAGTTACCCTCAAATCTGTCAAGATTCCCCTAAAATATGTAAAACTAGGATATGTTGGCAGAATTTGTTCCTTTGCCGGTTTCATTGAAGATCAGAGAATTTGCTTTATACACAAATTTCTTACTATTTTTTCCAATTTATTTAACTATATTTTTCGAATGGGCTTATGGACGTTTCGAATGTATCATTCATGATCAAGTTACAAGACGCATGGAGCGATGGAATTTGGATCGACATATGTACAAAAGCAAGTAAGTATGATACTACTCACAAATAAATTTGATACTACCCAAACTACCGAACCGATTTCAACAACACTTTGAATATTCATTCCTAACCACTTAACGGTGATGTCCAAACCATTTGATTTTTTTTTCGATTTCGCTCTCTTTCTCGCCTTACGGTCAGACGCGGAATCCAATACATGAACGTTGCATGGTTGAATTATATATATACTACTAGTTCAACCATGTGAACGTTGTAATACATAAATACACATATTCACTGAACATTTTCTTCTCAGTACAGTTGCCTTTTTTGTTGAGTTCGTGATCCGCAGCTCTTCCCAATGTCTTGAAGAATTTCTTATATATTTGGTTGTCCATGTTGAATATAGTCATTACTTTTTTATTTCTCCTCTAATTATTAACAATAGACGGTTTATTCATAAGAGTCTTCACCAACTCGTACGTAAGTTTAATTAGCAGATTTAGAGTGGGGGTTGCATTCAGAGCAACCCGCTTTGATTCACCTGCTGTCACTAATCCGAGCGCACTTGTCATTTGATTACTTGTCAGCAATTTTAGCAATAACATCTCCGAGCCCTTAGTTGGGCCAAGCCCAGTCTATTTTGGACAGCCGATAATTGCTCAATTAATTGAGTGAGTTGCGAGTTCAAGCCAGCAACAAGCTGTGGAGGTACTGCAATGTTAAGAATCAGCGACAGGCCTGCGGCCTAATAAACGCTGAAACCGCTATATTAATTACGGTAACACATTAGGTGCCAGTGTAGCTACGTATTTGCCTACATTTTATTGTGAAGGTTATTGTGTAAAAAATTCATGCCTCAATCCTGAGATACATATAAAAGTGATCCAGTATCGAATAAAAATAATTCAAATTTAAGATCTAAAATTATTCATATCTGCAGACAAAAAAAAAATTTCAGCAAACACATGAGCTGTAAATTTCTAAATTTCTTTTTTTTTTTAACTCAACCATCTAATATTCGCGAAACGTTTGGCATTAGTATCTTAGAAACGCGTCTACGTAAATATATATAGACTGATTTAGTGCGTACGTACGATAATAGGTAATATCCAAAGTCAGATATTACCTTAGAGTATCGTTGAATTTTTAATCGGGAAATCAAAGATCACTGCGGCACGCGTTAAGAGGAGCATCTAGGTGTAAAAACGATGGTATTGGCGTTTCCGGTTTTCAGTCTCATCTTAAAGCTGACATTCTGAGCTATCCAACGGTACCAACACCATCTCTGTACGTTGATTTATGCGCTCACGACACATCCCGAAAGGGAGGGAGTGGGAGAGCTCTTTAACAAATAAGATTGGGGGAAATTAGCTGCCGAGCACTTAAGGGGAGCGTCTAGGTGGAGAATCGACAGTATTGACTTTTCCGGTTTTTAGTCTCATCTTAAAGCTGACATTCTGAGCTATCCAACGGTACCAACACCATTTTTGTACGTCGATTTATGCGTTCACGACACATCCCGAAAGGAAGGGGGGTGGGGAGTTCTTTAACATATAATACATATAGGGGGAAATTAGCTACCGAGCACTTAAATAGAGTGTTTGCTTGAGCTGCAGTTCAGTTACCCGCCTGGCGTCGTACGGGGTGGTGTGCATGCAGTCGCTCCCGCCATCCTTGACTGGAATCAAGCTCCAGTAACGTTTAGTTTCGTATCCTTGCTGCATTGAGTGCCTATTGCGATGCGCGCGGGTCTCTGTCGCGCTCTCCGCAACATTCACACTTATTGTCACGGCAAACCTATCTCCTCCTAGAGTTTTGAAGCTACAGCTATGTGACATATACCATTCGATTCGCAATTAAAATATCTAGAGCTTGGTCGTAGCCCTTTTTCAATTTCTTTATATTTTTAAAAATATTTTGAAAAAAAGGGGGGGGAGGGGAAAATCGAAAAATTTTCGAAAATTTTGCGAAAAATGCTCCCCCATCCACAAAAATTTGAAAAAAATCGATAGAATCGAAAGATATGGTCCTTACGCATTGAATGATATGCGTCTCGATGTTGTAGCTTTAAAATCCTTGCAAAACTATTATTATGATTGAGATGCACGGAACGCGGGATGACGGGATAACGGGGTTCTCAAATTACACGTAATATCAGTCGCAGTAAAACCTGACTATTTCAAATGAACAAACGGAAAAGTCTGAGGAAATTTACACAAAGTATGAATTAATATCAAGCGAATCACAACAAAAGCTTGGTTTCATAGCTGATTACCGATAAAATATAAACTAAACGTTGTATACTAAATAACAGGAGATCGTTATCCATAGGAAATAATATTACTACGAACATATAACGTCGCGTTTATAAAATTTCTCTAAAGCAATACACGTATAAGATTGAATTATTTTAAAGAGCAAAAATTTAATTTTCGAGATTAATCAGTGAGTTAACCGCATTTTAATGTTTATTATAACAGGATAATGATGGACCAACACGTCCATGTTCGTATAATTCACTCGCCTTGCACTGAAACACTTGAGATGCATTCAATGCAGATGGAACTTTGGGAAGAAGATCGCACACACACACGCCGAAGAGACATGAATAACCTATGATAACTTTTTGAACAAACCTGTGCACCAACGTTAAATGACGTATGACACTGTAGCGGATCTCGCTACATAGCACTAATGTTATGCATAACATATCACTAATTCTTATATTTTTCATACTAACATAATATAACTAATTTTTATGTTTCTTATACTAACATTAATATTAACACTCACAATACACATTAAAGTCGTACATTTTAAATCATATTAAATAATTATAACATCATCACGAG